TCCGAGGTGGCAGACGGGTAACGTATCGAGAGCCAAAGGAGAGAGAAAGGGCCACGGGGTATCGCCATAAGGGAGACTCGCTGACGGCGGTAAGATTGATTGGAGTCACGGGATGGAAAATTAACGGTCTAGCCCGGGTGGTCCAGGCCAGGGTTGGGCAAAAGGTGCAGGAAGGCGCCGCGCCGCAGTCGAGGGATGGCGCCGTGACAGCCGCCGCATACTAATTCCCCACTTCCCCTCACTCTTCCTCGGTCTGTCTCTCTCTCCGTCTCTCCCCCTCGTCACCCTCGGCATCTACGAGCTGTTTTAGCCACCCTTAACCGCGCGCATCCACGCCCTCTCGCTCGGACGACCGCGCCGCTCCGCGAGGAAATGCCTTCCGGCGAACACCATTGGCTACTTTATCGAGATCACCGTTTGGAAATACGGTCCCGAACAAAGGCAGCTCTGATAGAATTATAACTACGTTATACCGGCCACCGTAACCCTTTCTGATCGTTACGGGATCTAACTAGAGACCCGGGACAAGCGCGCAGGAAGTGAAATGATTTCGTGGAGAAACTGCTCTCGGAGCCACTCGAAGATCTGTCGAGAGAAAATTCGCAAACACAACACACCTCTTGTACTCTTTTGTCACGTGCGGCACGTGCGGCGACATGCCGCGCCGCGCCGCGCCGGTAGGAAGCCAAAGATGGTTTGGGAGCAGTTCCCAACCAGCGGCATTGGTAATCCCCACGGGATATCAGCGCGGATCGTCGCAACATCCGCCTTGAGACTTGCCCGGTTGGCGCGTTAATGGATCGATGTGTTACAAGGCGCGTTAATGTGACGAACCGACGTAGGTCGGTAATTATCAAAGAGGGCTTTGACTTCGCGTTTGCGGAAGACGCGCAGGGGCAAGGGTCGTCGGGGGGTCGAAGATATATCGGCCGGAGAGCTTGCTAATACGACCTGTATATCTGCCTCTCCAATCGCTAATTGAATCAAACGGTCGAACGTCTTCGATCGATATGCTAGTGAGAGATTTCGTCGCGAGTAATTACAGACATGTAGCGGCAGCTGCTGACAAAAGCGGGTCGGCGCCCGCTACTACCATTGTTTCGCGCGGAATTGGGTTACGCGATCGTAACCCGACGAAGCCTGGCAATTTCCTGCTTGTCGTACCGCGCCGAGATTCGATGACGCCTACGGCAAATTATTTCCTACGGATCTGTCGTCGATTTAGTTAATGATCGCGGTCCGACCGCAATAATGGCAGCATTGACGATTGGTGGCCATCGGCCTGGTCGCCTGCTCGTACCATCAACGATTTACAATTCAGACCGCGTGTAGTTTAATTACGGCGCGCTGGGACACGCGAGATAAAAAACGTACGATACGACGTTACGTGATGGGTTACGAGGCCCGAACCATCGAACGTTTGTTGCCGATTCTTTGACTTTCTTTTGGAATTGATTTTTTCTCGCATTTCTCGTATCAAGGATACTGCTACAATAATTTCTGATAAATTAAAAATTGAAAATATTGGAAAACTTTTGGCAAACTTTAAAAAGATCTTGAGAAAAGAAAGTAAATAATTTGATTGAAAAATATTATTAATCATATTCTTCAATCAATTTTAAATGGATATTTATTAAAATATTAGCTTAAATTAATGGATATTAATAGATATTAATGGATAATGATTAAAATATAAGCTTAAATTATTTTCAAAGTTGGGGAAATCAGAAAAATATAATAATTACGGTCGATATTTTCGCGAAAAAGAAAAAGATTCTAAAATGATCTAAAGAAGTTGCATTGACAAAGATATTCCAAGTAGTTTTATTCTTCTGGAGTACCCTGTATTTTAAAATAATGTTGCGTATTGCAAATTTTATGATTCAAACATCACTCTTGAAAGCACTCGTTCTTATGGCTTTGAATAACATTTCGTTGAAATTCACTGTCGTCATTATTTAATTTTCAATTTTCCAATGTGTGTCTTACTCTCCTGAATCAACTTTGATACTTTAAACTTATGCATGCCTCGATATCACTGACGTTCTACGTTCTACAAATCATTGGTTCTACAATTCATTGGTTTTCTGATTGTATAAATATCATACTGTACTAGAATACGCTAACAATTACCCGCGCGGTGTGTAACATGAATAACATTACACTAGACAATATATGAAGATCTTGCATACTCGTCGCACGATGGAAGGAGAAATTGGATGGAAGGTATAGATGAGCGAATGGGGGAAACAGATCGTTTAGTGACGTACCGATGAAAGGGGACGATGCTATTAGGTTAATTAAGGCGTCTTAAGATTTTAATGAGTTCTCCTCGCTCACCGACGATGAAGCTAAATCAATACATTTCGGGATGCATAAATTTTGCGGACAATAGATTGCAACATGTTTCGTTTTCAATATCGCTACTAGATTTTATTTACGATTTTTCTTTCGACAGAATGCTAAATTGAAAAGAAGAAAATCCCGACATATCTACATCTACAGCTAAATATTTTTTATTTACGGTAAACTTTCGTAATAATTTTTTATAATTATTGATGATCAGCGAATTATTTCTTGCAAAGTTGCAGCAGTCTCTCCTTAAATGAAACTTTGATCGGGTCGGCTACCGAATCTCCAGATTTCAGTATACGCTACAAACACATATATTAATCGGGCATAATGAAAGAGTTGATTTGTCGGCGAAGGCCGGCGCGTTAACCGGTCCAATCATCAATCAGCCCAGTGAAGCTAAATGGTCAGGACAACGGGTTTTAATATCTCCTGAGGAAAATAAAAGTTAGCGCGATAAATCAAAGGTGAAAAGTCTCGCTGCCTTACTTTCTCTCACTTTTCCCCTTGCCCTTTTTTCTTCCTTTCTCCCTCCCCTCTTTCTCTCTCTTCCTCCTCTTTCCTTCCTCCCTCCCTCCCCCCCCTCTCTCTCTCTCTTTCTTTTTTTCTTTCTCACTTTCTTCCACCATCTCGCTTTTTCCTCATTGCGCTCTCAGCTTTAATCTCTTCGCCTTCCATCGGTGACTTGCAAAAATGATAAATGAATTTCATCCACCGCGCGTGCCATATTTATATCTATAAAACTGGATAGTAACCTCATAATAACCACGATGACGAACGACGACAATTTCTGATGATATAACATTCGTATTTTGTTTCGACACACAGATATCGAAATATTGATCTCTATTATAGGTGTAGAGAAGCTTATGGATGACAATCGCAAATTTAACGTCTCGCCGCGCCGTCCAATTTTCGACGACAGAAGTTTTATTGATTTTACATTCGCACCCCCTCGTCTCGCGCGTGTGTACGGCGACAAACGTCGCGAGATAGAGTTGCACGTCGGAATATCGTTGTTGTAATTTTTGCGGCAAACATTACCGCACGGGCGAGTGAAACGGGGGTTGGAAGTCATTCAGGTATTATCTTACGGAAAAGACGGCGGGGCTACATATTTGCATTACATTCGCGTGTGTAAACACGTCTGCTGAGGCGCATACTTTGTCATCCTATCCTATTTACCTTGGGGAGAAACGCACCTCCGCAACGTGCATCGCGTGCACCCTCTCTACAACCTTGCCACTTAGTAATCGCTCAGGTGCTTGTGACAAATAGCAATGACCTCTTTCGCTGCGGGCACATCCTCCACATCGAGGCTATCAATGGATATTACCCTTTTAAATTATGCCGTTGGACGCGCAACAGAAAGAAACACGGAACACCGCGGGAGAGATAAGCTATTTAATTTCATGAACAGCATTTAACCTAGAATTTGTGTTCGTGTTCATATTAAAGGGCTATATTTCTCACGTAAAATCTAGCTTTTAATCCCTTTGTTCTGTTCCCTATTGCGCACAACCTACATATCTCGAATACGCTCGAATTGAAATGTATGATACATGTTTCAGCATAACTTTGTTTTTTATACTCGGCAAAAAAATTTAGAAATGGAGAATTGATAATATTGAAAAAATGTTTACAGCGCCTACAGAAGGAATATATATTATATAAAGTAATAAAAATGGACTAACAGCGCAAATGAATTTTCTATGATCAGACAAACTAATTATAACACTGCTAATGCGACAAAGCCAGCGATAAACGTAACAATTATAACGAAGTCATCAAGAGTAATACTAACTAATTTTAATTAATGCCACATTCTGCGAAATTTTTAGCAGATATTTCCGCAGTGAGTACGTCCAGCCGCGGACAGCGGCGGTCAGTAATAAATCCGGCCGACGACGGCGTTCGCTAAAGACAAATGATGAAATTACGAATAATTATTCAGGTATATATCCCAGGATAAGTTACGCGTGGAGGCGCGTGTAGGGGTGGAAGGCGCGGATGTCGGTAGTACCGGAGTAAAATATGATGTAGAGTTTGGCCGGCTTGGCCGGCGCTACGGCAGCTAATACGTTCCGGGAGAGAAGTTAGTAACAGGTGGCGCGATCCATAATATCGCGCGGCGTAGAATTCGCCCAATCTGGGAGGACAAAAGTATTTTGGACTGGTTGCGTGTAAATATATAAGTGTAACACGTAATTCCACGCGGTTCATTTTAATTTCATGTTTGTTTCATGTAATTTCTCGAATTATCTCAAAAGTACACGAGGATTCAAAGTAATGCACAGCATCGTATACCTTCCTTAGATTCGCATAAAAAAAAATGTAAGCAATAGCAGGCGGCCTCGGTAACAATAGGAATGAAAACAGAAAGAAATACGAGCGGTACTATAGATTGGAATCGAGGGTGAGGGCTTGAGAGAGAGAGAGAGCACATCTCTCTGAAACACTGAAAATAATTGTGTTTTTTTTTCCACGAGAATTGCGAAAAAATGATGAATGAAGAAAAACTGAGCCTTTTTGTACGATTGGGAGATATATGAATATTTTGCCACAAAGCTCTGCAAATAAATTTTGCGTGAAATATGCGACGTCAATGTAGATCCGATTTTTGAAGATGGAAAATTGTTTTGTTGCAGTGTCCGCACCGCCAAGCACCAGTCCTAGCCCGTCTACCACAGAGGTCCCCAAAAAAGGTAAGATATTATATTAAAGACAGATGCCTCATGATGATTTTATGTATATAATATATATATTAAATCACGCAGTGCAAAATTGATAAATACGCATATATATTATAAACTATTATAAAGCATTACAAAATTAGTAAATTACTGCGTATTGCGTATTGCGCTATTAGAACTACGTAATAAGATTTAATGCTTCCATATATACCACAATCGATATTATTCATGTCGTACTCGCTAGCTTGAATCTAATTTTCCAACGCGCGTTTACTTTTGCAGATTGGGAATTCATGGCGGAGATGAATAACTCTGTTTACGGAAATCCAAGTTCGCTGACAATTCAAAATGAGAAGAACATCAAGACAGGTGAGTACTCGAAGCGGCATATATCTTCTTTTTTACGTAATTTTCCAACGTACATCATCGCAATTTCGCGAATTATGGGATTGATTCTGCAACTTCGCATTTCGACGAAGTGATGCAGTCGTCGGCTGTCACGCGAGCGTATACGAAGAGTAACAAGCATTTGAGATATATTTGGAAGAAGTATTCTCTTGGATCTTTATATATCTCTATCTGAAGAAAACACATCAATCATTTAGATCTTTCTCACACGTTCAAAAAAAAAAGAAGCAAAAGTAATAAGATACGGAACAGAATTTAGACGTGACAATGTCAGAAGTAATATAAAGGAAGAAATCTATTAAGCAGAATATTTTCCACGAGTTGTGGAGAAGTATTAATTTCCAATAAACATTAAATGCAACGTTAAATGCGTGTAATCAGACATTTTCAGACGTATTTATATATTGTTATTATTTATAGTATCGTTATGAATCATTCTTGGCGAATATGAAGAAGAGTCAAAGGTTTCAACTGCAACCTGTATACTCTGTACGTTAGTAAAATCTCAATCTAGTTGGAGCGGATTTACATATTCAATCTAGCATCACGTATAGTCAAATGCCATCCCATAACTGGATTTTCCAGCAACATACTTTGAATCTCCGGTGCGATTAACTTCGATGTTAACTAGAGCTATGGGACCCACCAGAGAATCCCGAGAATCGATTGCGGCTTTAAGAGTGGTTTGAAGAAGGGTAAGCAACTCGCTTTAAAGCTTTCTATGGAGGGCGAAAGAGAACCACGGAAATGAGGTCTATAACGGGATAACAATTGGAATTTTCCGACGACGCGGCGACGGATCTTCCTTTTGTAATGTAAAATTATATCGAAAAATAGACATTACTGTTTCAAATCACATAATGAATTACGTCAAATAACACACACGCCCATTATCATATACGCAATTATGAATATTATTGATATCCGCATAATCTCCAGCAAAGGAAGACTCGCAACATTCTAATTCCAAAATTCTACAGAGAGTAAATCTATTAAAAATTGAAGACAAAAGATTTTTATTTGATGTATCACGTTACCTTGGAAACCAAGCGTTTACTTAAGAAATCAAAACGCAGCGGTAACTGTCAAAAAAGTTTAGACAGACTCGAGGGTGGTGAATAAAAAGAATGAAAGAATAAACATAAAGGTAACAGAGAGGCAACTGAAGTGATGTTCGTAACAGAAACACATGAGTGGTGGTTATGTGAGAGAGCGAAAAGGATAGATGAATAGACAGAAGCTAGAAAGAGAAAGAGAAAGAGAGAGGGAGAGGGAGAGAGAGCTGGGAACAAGGTTGACTGAGATAGAAGAGATCCGTGTAACATCAATATTTCATGTATGCTAACACGCCGGAACTAATAATGCTCCAGCGAGGAAGACCCAAGAATAATATCAGCCGCCGCTGTGTAGACCGCGTTCTCCGTCCCTATCCACGCCTTTTCCCCCCTCGACCCTCTATTTCTTTCTTTGTCCTTCGCTTTGCTCTATCACCTAAAACAGCAACGTGCAGCGCCCTAGCGTCCTTTTGCGCCCTGTGTTAAATTTAATCGAAAATTCGTGTCTCGTTGAGCTTCGCCGTTTCTCTACCGTCTCTACGGTGTCTACCGTGTCTACCGTGTGTCTCCACCCTTCCTTTCCTCCACGTATAACCAATGTCATCGCCCCGGGGAGCGGGTTGAGAGACGGCGGAAAGGTGAGAGTGAAAAGATGAGGACCGAGGGCGAGGGGGAGAAGCGAGGAGGATGGTGAATGCGACGGGATGTGGTAAGTTTGAATACGGCATATGTCTCCTTGTCTCTCCTTCTCTATTTGCGAAGGCCGAGAGGAAGGAAAGGACGGGCTGCGAAGGAAGGATGAGGTTTGTAATTGGTGCAACATCTGCGGTCTGCAAGGTGGCATTAATGTTTGCTCCCTTCGTGCTCTCTCGCCCTCATCTCTGTTCCCTCTCCTCCGTTTTCTCCCCCTCGATCTTGCCGGGGCTCCGAGAAGGAATCGTCTTTTTCCCTTATCGCGTTGTTTCTTTTTCTCTTCTTCCTTATCCCGGTTACATTTAACCGTGTCTGCTTCCATTTTCCTCTCCCCCCCCTCCAGTTCTTTTAAGCACTTTATTTTTATGTCATCTTCTTTCCTTAACATATCTGTTTGACTTATTCCCTTTTAGTCCGCCAGCGTTTCTTTTAACATCCACGTTACGCTCGTTACGATTCCAACAGTTCTCTCTCGTATTTCGCAGTACATTTTTTCCCGGTTAATTTATCTCGGTCTCCTCCGCCTATTACCTTTCGCCTTGTCTTTTTGCAATGCCCTCTTTAAACAATCTAGCGGTCGCCGCCTATTTGCGCCGTTGTTTCTCGTTATTCATATCGTTGGAAATTCAAGGGCGCAAGTGTACGCTTAAGATTAAACAGAAGATTTGCTTGAGTTTCCTCCATGCGGACGGGAAACTCAAGCATAAACAGGCCTTATTTGCTCGCAGTAACTTACGACAATCTGTTGTTGAGAATATCTAAACATAACGCGGCGCGTTTTAACTTCCCCTAGTGTGAGGTGGTGTTATTTGTTATACAGAAAGGCAGGTTTGCTTGCAAATGCCACAATATAAAGCACAGACAACATAAAAATATTTTTGACAAAATATTTTGAGAGCTTTCTTCTCGATATTTTTTCTTTTCTTTCTTTGCGCGTGGATACTGCGATGCCGCCGCGGGTTCTCGCATATTCGCATGTGTGTATCGATGTTAAGCCGCCGTATAATTGCCATTGCAGGCATTTGTCCATTTCCGTTTCTCCCTTAAGTCGCGCCGCGCGCAGCTCGCGCGAATGGCAAATTACATATACGGAAGCCACGGTACACGCGGCCTATACAGCGATAAGTCACTTTGAGGCTCCGATGGGAAACGGGGCAAGTATTGTCGCGGTATCGTGACATCTCCCAGAGCACATATGCCCTTAGGTGTCGCTTAATTCCCCGGGGCACCGTTGTCCGCCTGTAATTCGGGGAGAGTATGTATAGCGATTGGTTTAGCCGCGTGCTTTCGTACGATTAACACGTCCCCTATTCTACCGTACGCGAGCACGTACCCGAGTAGGAGCGGAGGCGCGTAAGAGCGCCGTTCAACAGCGCAGCCCTTGTCGCTCCTGTTGTCGTATAACGTATATAAAGCGAGATCAAATCGCTTCGTCAAATCGCCGAGTCGAAAATCATTTTATCACGTTTATTCGACGATGCGTCCCGCGCGACGCGCACAGCGCGTCGCTGTCGCTTCCGCGTGAAATTATTTACGACCCCGAATTAACATCGTAAAGGCGCATTAATTAGAACGGCGCTCGTGACGCCGTGACAATATTGCGCGCCGCGTGACACGGCGGTATAAGTTTAGATCTCAGAGCGTGCAAGACGTTAGACCTCTGTTAATTTTCTTGGGGCACAGTTAGCCGAGCCACCTGGGACAAGGAGTATCATTGACTTTGTCGCGTGCACGGCCAACATCAGTCCGCCTAATAGCGCAAGGTAAATTGTATACGTTGACGCCCCCGCGCGCGCGCGCGCGCCAACACCGAGACAGTTTGATATTAACGGAATGCAGAACGGAAAGCTAAATCCACAATCTCAGCGAAAATAGTTAAACGCGTCTGCACCGACCCGTCAGCCTCCGAACCGCGCGCGAACGTGTGAGCAGGAATATCATGACCCACCGGACGTAAAATCAATGAGGGGTAACTGCGCGAAACGGTAACTTTTTATATGGGGGACTTATTTGTGCAATGTCCCCGACACAACAGTTCCTCTTTCTGACAGCAGAGTCGCGAGGATTACCAAATCGAGGATTATCAAATCCAAACGGAAAGTCGAATCAATGCGTGGGCAGTTGGGCACGAAGCTTTATCTTCTATTTCTCTTTTTTTTTAACCAATACAATTTTCTGTACACGCACGATTTAGTCAGTCTCGAGTGAAGGACCATTCTGGACAAAACATTTTTGTACAATAGAGTGCCTCGCAATATTTTACTACCGAAATGTCCAGTCGTGGGAATCTTATTTAGATATCAATGCACCCCCTTCATCATCTCGTAAATAACGAATTGAAACCTGAATATTGAATGTATCGACAAATTAAGTACAAAATGCGATTCGTCCTCTTCCCACTTTAGATATTTCAAAATCCGTATTTTGATCCGAATGGACACTGGTGCAGATGGACGTAATGCAGTCAATGCAGATGACGTTGCAGTTTTATGTGCGATAAACGAATTTTCGATTCGGATTTTCTGAAAGCGTTTATCAATATTTTTATCTTCTCTTATTTCAACCTGTCGCGCAAGAGCATCGGATTTTCGCGCCAGTTTAATAGCCACCATGTGTTGATCAACTTCCAAATAATTACGTACGTTTCGAGCACGTTTATTTTTCACGGGCAGTTAATGGGTGGAGCGAGGATTTTAATTTGCCCGACCATTCGCTGGGACCAACGATGTCAGGATGCAAATTAAGCATAAATTTCATCGCTATATTCAGTTCTATTGATATCTGCATTTCTGCGTTAACCACGCTGCGCTTTTCTCTCTTTCTCTTTTTCTCTCCCTTTCTCTCTCAACCCTTTTTTTCCTTTTCCGGAAATTTTCTCACGACTAACTCTTGCTCGTTGCTCATCCGCAACGAAATCCTGAACTACTACATATAACGAAGCTTGTACACGCTCCCGGTGGAGCTTATACGTGTCCATACTCGCGCGATGACGGCGGGCTATACGTCTGGTTCCCTAAACACGTCGTCGCCCCACGCATAGCTACAGAAACAGCCGCATCGCGATAGAGATTCTCGCATATAGGAAACTATGGAACCGGCCCGGGCGCATGGATATACGTATAGCGCACGTTACACATTGTCACTGCTAATGTTTGGTCGAGATTTGCATACGTCTGTCTAACCTATCCATTGCGTCGCCGTACAACGGTTGTCTCACCTCGGTTGTCCGGAGGGTGTATCCGGCGAGGTGGCGGCGCGGCGGCGACCTTACTCTGTACTATCAGCCTTGGTATTATACACACGAGGGTACAAGCGGCCTACGCAAGCGCGCTCGCGCGCGCGTAGGTACGCCGTCATGATCACCCATTACCTTATCCGAAATAGGCTATCGTGCCAAGATCGTGTGCTTCCCCTTGCGCTGCAACCCTCACAACCCTCGCCTTGTCCCTTACCTAAACTGACTGGCACCGCCTCGGGGCTACGAACTTACAAATCTAATCGCGAGGGAACGAAGACACAAAGCGATATTCACGAGCACCTCGCTCCGTGGGTACTCCGAAATTAAGCCGTAAGTACAGGTTGCCAGGCTTCTGCGGCTCCTCCTACCTACTGGTTCTCCGCGTTAGTGAAGCTGCGTTTATTAGCTTCAGTCAACTTGACATGCTACCTGCGAATTTTACGCATGTTTACGTAGGCTTAGAAAAATAATAGAATGCATATGGATACGCAATAATTGGTTATAATTTTGCGATGAGAAATGCGCGATGTCTATTCGGGCAGAATATATGGATAAATTTGGAAAAATTATAGAACTCTGGTCTGTAACAATTGTTTATAATTGGTAATATAACGTGCTATTGACAGATATTATAACATTTTAGTAAGTATAACAAAAGAATACGATTCGACTGTACAACTTTAAATAAATCTGTAAGTTAGTTATTATTATTTTTTTCAACTAGAATGAAGAGAAATAAATAAACTTAAACATAAAGATGTAAATTTAATAGATATGGAGAAGTGAAAGCTTACTTATTAAAATCGTAAAAGAAAGCATTATTTCTTACGCGTTACTATATATTTTATATAATTACTGTGTAAAGAGGTAGATACTTATATTCGAGCAATAAGATGACTATTTATTTATGTATGTCGTGAGATGCGCTTCACGCGACAAGCACGTACACGTTATAACATGACAGACTGACATACATAAGGTCTGGTTGTGTAATTTTATCAAAATATATACTCATCACGAGCTGTTTCGCTGCAAGAATGTAATCCAAAACGCGGTCGGGCTTGCGACAAGCGTGTGTCGTGACACGGATAGAATCTACTTGGCGCGGATAAGGGAATTGTGTTTACTCGGAGTTTGCATACTAGTTAACGCGTTTGCCACCCACTTTATGCGTAACAGGCTTGTAAACATCTTCAGTCGAAAGGGCCACTCGTTGTACGTCCCTTTGTCCGTGGTTCCGCTATGTGAACCACGCAAGTCTCTCCTTTCGCTCCTTCTGTTCTCTCAGATCTCATCTCCTCTGTCTCGCCGACGGCTTTGCGCTATAATGTCTCGAAGCGAGATTGAATTTTTAATTTATTCCCATAACGTCCGGGATTCATTCCCATAACATCCGGGAAACAAATTGTCGCCAGTCCGCGGTGGACTTTTCAACGCGGAAAGATATTTTTCTTGGGGATATCCTTGTACATTTCATTTATTATTTATCATCGTCTACCATCGTGTCGATATACGTAATATTTTTTCACAAACGTGCGTTTCGTGTTTTTCTCTCAAGGTACCAAGTTCCAGTCGAATCTAAACGAAATTGGAAAATCGGAGCAGAAGTCGTCTGAACTGGACAGAAAAAGAAATTACAACTGGCCCCCTGATAAAGGTGAGTATGACATAAAATTTTATTAAAGTTTTACGTATATATAGTTATGTATATACATAAGTAAATAAAGGTTTCATGTTAACTTTTAAAATCTATAAAAGAACAATACACTCGAGATATACATGTAAATAATACGTGGCATATATCTGGAACAGAAAATTAACTTTTCGATAAATGTACATGTTTTTTCCATAAAGAACAATATTTGTTTCTATATGGAATAACTTATCGTGCCAATCGCATTTACATTTTTACAGCATATTTGCTTTTTATACGACACAAATAGAACGGAATTTCGCATAATATAGTAGAGAAAAATATTCCGCTAACGCCGTACATTCGTGTAATGTGACCGTATACGCGATAAAATGTCAGATACCGGACATGCGTTGAACAACAAGCGCGGCCGTTCGTTACTTTATGAATTTGAGATTCAGTTTCGACGAGCTCTCGTCGCGGTGAGCAAACGAACCTCGCACGAGCGGAGGGAGGGGAGGCAAAACGCGAACGAGTTTTCCCGTCGAAGATGCGATTTTTCCGGCATTTCGCGGCTCCGATCGTGGCATTTGATCGGCCGCGTCTACCGCATTTCTGAGCGCGGCCAGGTGTGTAGCACCTTTCATAATTCCGCCGAGCCTTCGGCATTATCGGATAATTCTTTTCCACCCTCGCATTTTTTCCTCCTTCCACGATCCGTCTTCACCCCCCGCGTCTCTTCCGTAATTCGATCCCTGTCCCGGCCGCCCTCCCTCCCACCCTTCTGTTCTTCTGCGCTACCGTCTCTCTCAATATCTCGCTCGACCGCGGTTACTTTTAAGAGGAATTTGCATAATGGCGTAGTGTGAAAATCCGTTTTCTCCGCGGGGACGATCGCGATAGTCTCGGGGAAGTAAGGTAATTTCGCGTGGAAAAAGGCGGGTTGAACTAGTAACGAGGGAAACTGCGTTGCAAGCTGCCACACGTAAGTGCGACGGAAAGAATGCGACAGAAATATCGGGGCGTTTCTATGGAAAATTCTGCTGCGAGATTAACGTCAAATTGCTAATGGGAACTGTTCGACGAGACAGCGATACGATTGCGATGAGTTCAATGTCCAATGTTATTTCGATATCGAATGATACAGGAGACTGTATACGTCGCGCGCGTCACACGTTGATTTTTCATTATGCCGTGTAATCGTAGACGCGATATCTCCCTCTCGGAGTCTGGAAAGCGTGTAAATCTGGAGATCGTACCAGCGCGAGTTTGGATCTCGAGTTACAGATCTAATGAGACACAAGACACAGCATTTATTTTACAATTCTCGCGCAGCAGTGAAATATAAATATTGACTATAAATGCATAACACATCTGCCTCTCGCAGAGATGAGGGGAAGACGAGCAGGGGAGAGGAGAGGGAGAAAGGGGGGAGGGGAGAGAAGGATGGGGTAGGGCGAGAAATCGCGAATTGAAGGAAGGTAAGATCGTACAAAAGTAGCGAAGCGAAGAATTCTCCCGGGGCAGCGCCAGGGACCGGATAAAAGAAAAGGGGAAAGGAGGGGGGTGGAGAAAGGGGGTCAGGGAGGCAAGTTACTGCTTGCGAGCCTTTGGATGAGAGTCGAGAAGACTCTAGAAAGGGCCGTGGCGAACAGAAAAGGGAGTGAGAGGAGGGAGGGAGGAGGGGAGCGATCCAGAAGAGGCGACGGCTCACCAGGTTGTTTCTGATTCGTAATTAGAGATGAGTGAGGCCAGGAAAAGGCCGGAGAATACATTTCTCTCCAAGCGAGTAATAGCTAACGGTACGGTGCAAGCCAACCGGAAGAATAACTGACTTCCCATTTTTTCCTCCGTTTTTTTCTCCCTCTTTTTCTTTCTTTCGTTTTTTTACCTCCTCCTCGTCTACCCTTACTTTTCCCTTCTGTATCTACTCTGCTTGGACCGTCGACTAATCGGCACTCACCCCTTTGCACCCGTCTCCGTTTTCTCGGGATATCCTCCCTCGAAGGGAGAGATTCTTCCGTGGCAACCTTCCTGCAACGGGGTAACGACAGATTCTCGTCGTCCCAAGCCCCTTGATTGTGCATTGACCTCTCGGGACTTACCGAGAGAGCCCTTCCCTTCTTGTCCCGTAGCATCGCGAAAATGAACGTTCCATGCTATCGTTTTTTCGACATATTAGAATCTGGTACTCTATTATATTCTAAAGGATATATTTTATATATTTCATATATACACTGATAAATTCGTAGTGTCAAATTATCCTCATTTTGAGTCATTTTCAAACATTCCTATAATATAAGTCGCCACTGCTGCTACTCAATATGTCGTTAATTTAACTAAACCAGTGAAGTTGAAATAATACTGTTTTGTGTTAAAATAATCGACACACATGGTAGTTAAAAATAACAGATTGTTATTTAACTCAAAATATTGATTTAAATTTTATCCTTTAATATTGTACAGTTAAGCTGTTGGAAAGATTTAAATGATTTGTGTACAGAGATTTATTAATGTAAATGTCAAAACTTGATGTTTATTCTAAAAACGGAGCAAAAACATTATAATATCTATAAGCAAATTATCGATTCATACAAATTAGGTTTATTAAAATTCAGAAATGTAGCTTCTGTAAAATATCCGTATATTGATCGGCGTTTTAATCTTAAACAGTGAAATATTTTGTCTAATTTCAGATTCAGCAACGGGCGTGATGACGACCGTGACGCTATTACTAATTGCTCTGGCGGTAACGATAATTCGATAAGCAAGACCCGAAAAGAAAAGAGAAAGCGAACGACGACCTCGTCATTGACACGCCGCGCCGTCGGTGTTGGCTTCCCTAATTAACGGACTCAATTAAAAGGAGAATAAAAGGAAGAAAAAATTAGAACTCACGACATGAAAGACAGACCACACTCACACACAATACACGTGCGCACGTGCACGCATATACACACACACACACACACAATTACACCGCGGTGACACAAAGACTGACTGGAGTAGTTAGCGTCCGTATTAAATGACGGAGAGTAATTTACGCGTGCCAAGTTTAGTGTAGCGACGACAGTCCACGAGTGGCCAAGAATTACAGGAGCACGAATCCTCGCCGATCTCCCCTTCACCGATCGTGCGTTGTGTGACCCGAAGGGATGAGGGACGAGACACACGCCTGGAGGTGGAACAACGAGAACGAGAGGAAAGGGTATTAAACAAAGTGCAACGACTATCGCTTTCAGTGTAATATATTGTATAACGCCGTAACATAATGACGCTAATAACAAATACCAGTGGTCTCGTCTCCGCGAGAGAGAGAGAAAGAGAGAGAGTCCGGAACGTGTGTGAGAGTGAGTCGTTATGTTTTTTAACTATATTATACGGGAGTATTTTAATCGCGCAACTGACATTTCCGGAATATCAAAACGAAATCGTTCGAGTTTAATACTGAATTAAAGTTTCACCGAGCCAACTAGTTCTCCAACATTTTTTAAACTCACATGCCCCTCTTGAAATAGTTTTCTTCCCTCGTTCGTACGATCGATGCATGAGGGTTCTCAATTTCGTCAACAACGTAAAAACTCTTGAGTTCGAAGATTCGTCATGACGATACGTATATCTCGAGGAGAATCGTGAGTGTTTGTCACCATTCGAGCAAAGTTAACTCTCCATCGACATCTGAATGAGAGTCCACCGTAGTCACGCGTCTCAGTTTCGACTGCATGCATCCCTTAAACATCAGCCATTTCTTTCTTCTTTAATTTGAAATGCATAAAAGTGCGAAAAAAGTGCGTGTATTATCTCGAGCATCGATTCCACTTCTTTATTCCGTGGCAAACTTCCGCCAAGTACATTTTAAATTTCTCGCTTCTTTCCATCCCGTTCCTACCCTTACCTCCTTATGTACGAAATCATGGATCCCATCTGGATACTTGAGATTAAAACGTCAGATTCGGTACGGAGAAATTGCTCTCATCTGGAGAGGCAGTCGAAGGAGGTACGGACAGCGAAGGGGGGAAAGAAGAAAATGGAAAATTTGCGGCGGAGAAAGAAACGCGGATATATCGTAACAAGAAATCGAATACTACTTAGTTGCAAACGTTTTCGAATCAATCCGGCATTACTCCGGTTTTCTGAGAATAACGCAATTCTTTCTTCACATTATATGCAGGCACGTTGTCCTCATTTTATTTAATTATAATTCCAACCACTCGCTTTGCGCGCAATCATATAGGACCAGAAAATGTCGAGGTTCGTCTTGAATAGAAAATATTTATTGAATGTATCGAAAGCACAGTTTTCGGCCTGTGAATTAATAAATAGTCCTAAATCTCGTTCAATCGTTGTAAAATCCATTTTTGCTCGAAATATTACATATATTTATTTATGGCCAATTATGGCATTTTATGCAATATTGCAAAAGGAAGTTTTCATATTTTACTATCAACGTTATCTAGCGGTGCTGTGGCAATTTGTGAGTAGTGTATGAAGAAAATTTATTTATATGCAAGCGCGATCTACGTTTCTCGCCTTTGACGTGATAATTCTGGATGACCGGATGGCAGCGGCGATCAGAAGCATATCATTAAAGCATTTTTTTTTATTATCGGTTATCTTTTATTCTTACGCGTGTTAACGATAAGCGATTTATATAAGCAGAAAGAAATATGCGCTTTAAGAAGTAACTTTTTACGTGCGATACTATACGCAGTATAGTAAAACGTCGCATATAGCAAAACGTCAACGTGTGTTCATTTCGTAATCAGATTCATGAATCGATATCAAAAATTGTCCGGCTGACTGTCCAGACTCGACAGAATCAACAGGAAATAATTGCAATGTAAATTACATATTTGCTTGAAATATCGGTTCCGTTTCACGCCGTTGCGTCGCGCGATCGATTTGTTTACGTGTTAATTGATCAAATCGGGATTTATTCGTAGGCGGTCGCGGAGAGGCCGGCCCCGGCTGTGCCGGGTTTTAAGCGGACTTCTAACTACTTAGGAATATCCATTATTCAGCGTACATCTTGTTTAAAGCAACAGGTTCGAGAGAGAGTCCCTGCACTCGGCGCGCAAAGGAGTTAATGCCCGCCATGGATTAAAGAAGGGAACGGGTCGACTTAGGGATTACGCAGACTTACTCTGATGAGGTCTGTAATCGTATCATTCGCGAGACTAGCGATCTTAAAAGTCATAAGCATTTAACATGAGGGGATCACGCGTCTTTGCAGCATCGCAGCGTTCGCAATCTGTGGAGATTACTCTGCAACGAATTCAAATCCCGATCTGGTCAACGCTACGAACGATTGTTTCTCCACTTGTCGGTTGAAGCGTATTGATCGCCGGGCATTTTGATTGAACGCACGAACGATTGACCAATATTTCTCATTAAAAAGCATTTCCATAGGCACATTATAAACAGTTTCTGTTTGGTGAAAATAAAATTGTGAAAAAATTTATTTAAAAAAGCAATTAAACGCGATATATTGCGTAGCAATATATCGATTGCATTCGACGATACGTCGATGGTGCTTAAATGAATTTTTAGACCAATACTGATACTCGCCATCAGAATGATGCATATATATCCTGAGTTTTTTTTAATTAATATTATTAATTATTACTCATTTTGGTAATTATTCAGTTATATATGTCAAGGTCAAGATCATTGGCGTTGAATAATTACTCTGACGTTCTTTATCTTAGAATGGTTTAATCTAATCATACAAAGTTCTGTTTATTAATTTTATATAATTTTGCAGAGAGATAAATACCAACGCTTTCCTTTCGCGAACACAAAGATGATTGAATTCATCTATTATCTTGATGCAGGGAATCTTTATTACAACACTAATAAGCACAGTCTGATTAAATAACGCTTAAAAGTTTTATTACGCAATAGCTTTAATTGCTTAACACAAGCACACTCTGTATTTTATATGAAATTTAATTTTATGTGTGAAATTCAAAAATCCAGAAGAATTATTTTAATATCTCGAATAGTTTCGTCTACTAAAAATTCAGAATTAAGCAACAAAGTAAAGATCGTTCTTTCCGGGCACGCTTAAGAACTCCGAAGCTATCCGCCTATTGAGAAGCGATCACTACCCATAATGCAAGTAGAATCTATATTGCACATGTGTATGTACGCGTGTATGTGATTGTATGTGAAACAACTGCATGTGACTTCTTGTCTGTAATATCGGTGCGTAATGCCATTTTCCGTTAGCATCGTAGTCGCGATAGAGTTGATTTTCAATTCTTTTAAATCTCAATTTAGATCCCATGAATTTAATAAGAATAAAAAAAAATATGCTGTCAGGCTCACGAATCACATGCGGAATCAATGAAATTGAGAGACAGTAGATTAGTCAAAGGTTAAAAAAAAAAAGAAAGAAATAGTATTCGAGAGTTACCTCTAAGCTCTTGCTATAATCAAACGATTTTAATGAAATTTGTGAACGGCTAAGGGAAAATGGTGACGCGGATTATTCGAATTATCGGTCTAAGGATGCTCGAACGTTGACTCGTCATTGGCGAAACCCTTGTAAATAGAAGTACACCAGTGATAAGAATTGCACGTAGAGTAAGCTTTGCAGCCAGCGATGATAGTGTACGACGTGTCACGTACGCTACCGGCATCATTAATCCGTTTTTCCGTTTCGCGATTTTCCGCCTTTAAGTTCTTTCGCACTTTCGCCGTCGTCGTTTCTCACGCGCGGAGAAACGCGCAAGAAGGGTAAATCTTAGCGAGAGATATTTTGACCGTAGCCTCTAAAGTAAAAAAAAAAAAAAGAATGCGGATCGACGTGTGTGAAGAAAAAGAAGAGAAGAAAATTCGCCGTCTTAACGTTGTAAGTGCGTGATGAGACGTATTAAACGCGAAGATATATATGTATACATAACGCAAATTATAAATATGAAAATACAAATATATAAATACAAATATACGAATTACGGGGGACTATATTGGGTATACATATATAAATATATATATGTTATATAATATATATATTATTATAACATTTATGCTTTGCGACGTTGATTTGAATGTTGTTATTTACAAGAAAACCAAAAGAAACGAGACATTCTTATGAATATGCTCGACATATGTAATAAAAGAAGGGTTACGTAAGAACTCTATATGAATCGCGATTATCTTGTCACCCAATGCCCCATTCCTCATCTTTCTACAATTTTTAACAGATCCTTTCTTTTCATAAACATATCGTATATCGACATAAGCGGAGTCAAATATTTCATTTTTTAATTTATGTTTTATTGTTGTTTAGGTAATCAAGTGAAAGATATATAAATAAATATATCGCGATCGAAAAATGAAGAATAAAGCACCACTCTGCTTCTTTTGGCAGAAACGAGAGGCAGCTATTCCTAATTGATGATAAATTAATTGATTCGTTATTAACAATCGACGATCAATAATATTCATTTATCGTTAGGTACAATTTTACTTTCCTATTCTGGTTAAGCACCCAACTCTGCTACCAACCACAGCGTTGAAACGCAACGGATTACGCGGGGAACTCCGCAAACGTTTCATCCCCCCAACGCATGATTCTGTTTGCCATGGGTAAGCTAAATAGAGGGATCGGCGGGTGAATGCGGGGGCGTATGCAGCGAGGTGTTGAGGAAAAGGTACCGGGTGCTCGTAACATTTAGGTCGCGTGAATCCGCGAAGTGAGACGCTATCTACCATCGACGGATTAAATCAGGCCGACTATGTGTTTATGCGGCAGTCACAGGAGGATGGCATGAAAGTTCAACAACGTCGGGATACGTCGGTAGAGCGAAGATAGCGGATACACGTCGCTCCGTATAACGGGGATCGGAGGGGGCGCGCGGGGACGGGGGAATGTGTCAACCTTTGCGCAATATTTCGCCGTTTATTGTCGCGAGTGTTGTAACAAGCCGCGACTCGCCGGTCGGCATACTAACCGGAGGATTAATTACGTGGTGCGGCCCAAGGCAGCTGGCGGAATCATTTTACGCGTAACACGGCGTTCCCTCCCCGTCGACAAGTTACTATCAGTTTATAAGCCCCGTAAGCTCGCTCGGTAGTCGCTAATTAAAACCACGCTATTCCGTCCGAGAATTGGGACGGGACGGCGGCGAAGTTTAGCGGCGGGCGCTTAATCGGCACCGTTCGTTTCGTTCGGTTTCAATATCCCGGAATCCTTGCCACACGCGCTGTGTGTTACACGGTTCTCTTTCTATCGTCCGTCATTCCACACCGTGATTACACATCATAGACGTGGATAGCGTGGATTTGCGGGAGTATTGATTCAAATCCAAACATTTTCCTAACAGCCCAATTTTAATGCAAGAACTTCATATTATATTATCAGAAATCAGATCTAATTCTCTCAGCAAATATCGTAATGTAACAAGCTGGCAATACTTATCTTTTACACAGCCGTTTAAGCCTTGCATTATTTAAAAATTATACTAAGATTCAAAATTGCATTGACTATATTAATAAAAAATTGTTATAAGGACAATATTGTCATTATGTATGGCGATGTTGTAGAATAGATTTATTGTCATATCGATTGCCACAACGAGGTGAAGTTAAAAGTCTATAAGATATTCAGAGAGCGAACTTGTCACGGTCGAGAAGGAAAAAGAGAAAGACATTTTTGAAATCTTGATGAGCTGAGTTGCCGGCAAGTAGGCATTGCAGCAGATTATGAATTAAATTCACTCTCAACTTGTACTCTCTTATTCTCTCTCTTCCTCTCTCTTCCTCTCTCTTTGGTCTCTTTTACGTTACTTCATAATAACTACGGTTCATGGCGAACAGCCGCCTCGCCAGGCATTTTCGTCGGCCATTCATTTGAGCTTCTCTTTCCCCCAACGGCCTGCTTCTCTTTCGTTCAGCCGCATTGTCGGGGGTGTTCTTTTCTCCTTGAGAGAATTGCCGGAAAGTATTCGCCATATCACGAAATGAATAAGTATGAATTAACCCGGTAAATTTTAATTAATTTTCAAAAAAAAACTTGCTATTAGTAAATAAAATATATAATCTTAAGTTAAAATTTTTTTAAAGTTTTTATTAAATGTAATATTATGTAACAAAATCTTCATTTATCTGCACATTTATATTTACAGCGGTAATCTCGTGGATTAAGAAAATTAAATACTAAAAAGAGAAGATTCTGATTTTTTTTAACTGTTTTATTATATTAGCGGAAAGATAAAAAAATATTTATTTGTAAAACTTAGCTTTGTTAATTAATCTTAAAGATGGATGAGCAGTAGATTTTTCTGATAAAAGCCAATGGATGAAGGTACAGGAAGACGTAAAGGGGCAAGGTGCACCAAGACACGAAGTTACCGCATGTCACGTACGATGAAATGATCGATATAATCGTGCTCCCTCAGCGAGGATTCGTTATCTCGATTATGGTAGAGGGAAAGAAAATGTCTTTACCGTGGACGACCGAAAGTTTCATATACTCCCGCTATATTTGATATCAGAAGAAGTTAGCGCGCCATTCCATACGGATAGGCTACATTTATTTTCCGGACAACGAACAAGTTATTCCTAATGATGCGGCAATCACCGCTGAGTGAACAAGAATGGCCTTATCTAGGGGGATAGTCTTCTTAAATATCAGAAGATGACGAAAATAACTCGTATTCTATCTTAATAGCTACTGTAGTGTTTAACATCATAGATATTTAATAAAATTCTAATAGAAATATTAATTTAATGAAATATGTTTTCTTATTGTCTAATATTAATACATCGTTTACAAATCAAAGAAAAGCCATATATATACCTATACATACATATTTAATTATTCACAATTATATAAAGGACTTACAATTTTTTAACATAGGAATAATTGCCGTTCAAAAAATGTTTAAAACAAAAATCAAAATGTCACACTTATTCATGTAAAATTATGATATAAATTATTTTAAAAACAATTATTAATTCTCTTCAATGCAACTGTAGAAAATAATAGACAGATAATGTATTGTGTGTACTCTAATTTTTAAAAAATTTTTTGTATTAAGAATGTATATGAAATTGGAAATAAATTTGTTATTGCAAGTTATAGATTGTCTAAAGAGAATATCATAAATATAAATATTTATCTTAACATGTATCTTATATAAGATCTATCCGTTGTGTATGACGCGAATATAAAATTATTAATATCTATCATAAGAGAATTTCTTTTTTTTTTTAATATCACAATTGATATGACGATTTGTTTGTTATTTTAGTGAGTATTCTTGATATAATTACTAAAGTGCCGATCAAATGGCTCATATATATAGCTAACTCTGATATAGCAGTGAATACAACGAACGGTATTAAATAATAGAGGTGCCATTAGTGTGATGATTGGCAAATAGCTACGTCACATCAGTGGGGGATGTATTCACGACCTGAGAACGATTTGAGCACGGCGATGAATTCGACGGGAAGCATCTCGACGGGGACAATGACGCAAATACGAAATGCCGCATCGATACAACTCGAAATATGACACAAGGCGAGCGATTGCCCGAACGAAAAGCCCCGGTTCTCGGGCGGCACGTATCATGCATATTCCGCACGGAAGCCCCGATGGGATGGATTCTTAGTGCGAGCCGCGTGGAAGTCCGGGAATCCGCAATCCGTTTACGAATTTCGAACGGCAAGGTAATGGCTCGTGCGTAGTCGCGCGGTTAGAAATTACAATTCGAATTCCATTGCCGTAGCCGACGACGAGGGTGAATAAGAGAGAGAGAGAGAGAGGGAGGGAGGAGCTGGACAGGGTGAAGTCGCGGAAAGGGGGTAGGTACGGATATTGGAGTAAGGTGGGGCGCCAGCAAACGGATAGAGAAGCGGAGAAGTAAACGGGGCTAGCTCTCGTGCTGGCAGTTGACCCGCGTGCGAGCGGATATAACCGGTTTTCGACCTGTTCGGCAGCATTCTAGAATTGTAATCGCAGTCCCCCCATTCGACCGGGGATGTTCTACGCACGTCGTAGTCTCACCCCTCGACCTCCGCCCCCTGCCTCCGCGGGCGGTTACGATGCGGTCGGATTCCATTTTAATTACTTACCTTCGATCCCTGTCGCCGTACCTATCCCTGTGCCCCTGCGCGTCGCGGCGCCTCGCGTCACGTTGAGCGTGATGTGCTCTCTCTCTCTCTCTCTCTCGTGATGTATATTACTCTTTAGTTAACAACACATAATATCTGCGGAATCGATGCGCTCTTTGACCGTAGAAACAACGGCAGTGTCTTCGGTCGTTGAAAATAAATCATTTCTTTCGCGAATTGAATTCTGCTAGGAATTCATAGTAATGAAAATGTACGAAAAAATTCTTCCATTTCTTGCTTTCCAACTCAAGCGTATCTTGATGATTTGTTCATTTGTGATTTGAAAACTATTATTGCAGGACAATTTGGAAAAATCGCGAAATATTACCCTTTGATATTTTTACTAAATAACAATTCTGATTTTTAAAAAATTATTCAAGATTGTAATATGCAGATGAGATTATCTCGTATGTACAGCGAGAAATCAATCTATGTAAAAATGTTATTTGTCTTCGTAGCATCTCGTATGTAATCCTTAATCCTTTCGGTCACCTGATGAATCTCTTTTCGAGGAAGATTGTTTTAGAACGTGTCTTATGTTAAATAGAATTAATGAGAGATAAAAATGATATATTTCTCTCTTTTAACAGCAAAAGTATCAAATTACGATATTCAGATTATAATTTCCAGATGTAAAATGAAAATGGAGGAAATAATGAAAAGCCTGCATGCAGAGACTGTAACGTTAATTGAAGTAATGTACCATATATAATAGCGTACAACGAGCGTAAAAGAGTTGATAAGCCGGCGCTTTTTTAAATTTCCTCCGACTTGACGTTGCGCTGGATCTTCATAGAGGGTGAAAACCGGCATATTCTCGCGAGTCGGAATGAAAATTGCAGAGCTATGATGCCGAAATAGCCACTATTTGTATACGTGACGCAGATTTTCCGTCCACGAGAAGTGAGAAAATGAGAAAATACTTGGGAAGATACGCCCGCATAAAATCGGGTCTATGTATGCCGGCAAAGAGAGGCGATACTGTAATCAAACTCGGTGAATTTTTGAAGATCTGCTCTACTTACGGCATTATTTCACTCGGATATCTCGGAGAGAGGTATAAGTCGCAAAACGTTATATCCCATGTACGCGTGTTAATTTAACACGCGCAAAAAAAATTCGAGCGATATACGCGATTGAAGGGGGTCGCGTGAATAATAACACACCTCGAAATTTTAAAATAATGTAAAAATTCCCGCATTCTTGATCTCAAATAATGTCATACACATTCATCATGCGATCACGATTTATGATCGTACAGATAATCTCGGCGATAAGATTTACTAACATCGACATAGAAATTATTTGCAACGTTTATCTTTCCTGGAAATTGAAAACATTGTACAACGATTATGTTATAATCATAATCCAATACAATGCTTGCACGTGAAACTTCGAGCTTGTTCAAAAGAGTGAAGTACAATATAAATAAGAACTCATCTCGGCGGCAAAACATATATACGTGATGTAAACGTAATATTTATCAAATTACTAAAATACGGCTTATATCGAAATAAAGATCTTTCAATCGTTCAAGCCACTTAATGATTGGATTCTATTCCAGAAATCTAATTCGTTTGTTGTAAAAGATGTGCACGCATACAAGCAAATACATGTACTTTTAAATCACATTAATACATTTAAATAGTAAAAATTTTATGCAAAATTCCACTTCGTAGTCGATTCTTTTTTTAATAAGAAAATTAAGAATATCAAAAATAATTGAAAATAAGTCATCTATGACGTAGTGGCTAGAATGTCGCGGATGATGGAGTCGGAAATTCTTGAGAATTCTATTATAATTACAAGAAAATACGAATTCTCGGGAACACGATTAAGACAGAATTTATCAGAGATAAAACGGTCGAAGGAGGATTGTATGCGGGGGAGGCGAAGAGAAGTGCGTGGAAGTTGGAAAACGTAGATCCGTGCGATATATACTAATGTAGATACGATATATATAGTCAATTGATAGCACAGGTCGTCAAAGAAATCGTCTATCTTGTTACATGGAAAGTGTGAGAACTCACGGTTGTAATTCTCATCATTCTCGATCTCACCAGTCCTAATCTCTCTTCAATTTTCTTCAGAATTTTGAGGTAAAGGCTGAAAAGACGCTTAAAGATGTTTAAATAACTTAATCATCTCGTTTGATGTATTTAACGAAAAAAGAGCTAATTCCGCTAATTTCTTTCACAGCATATTGTACCCTATGTAGCAAATATCGTCAGTTTTTACACTGACAGTTTTGTTAAGAATTTTTATTTTATTTGCTGAAAATAATTTCGCAAGATTCTGTCATGGATGGCTCTATTTAATTTGTTTTAGCGACAAATTAGATTTGCCTTACAAAATTAAAAAAAATTGGAAAAAAGTAAAAAAATTAATTTAAGCTAAAAATAATGTCAAAGTATAAAAAAATAACAAATTTTTTATACTTTGACATGGAAAACAACTGTGAAAAGTTTGAGAAAAATCAACGTCTTCGACGTCAACGACGTTCCGCGAGGTTTACCTGTTAGTAGCAAATTCGGATTTCTGCGAATATACATTTATTCAACAAGATTTTTCAATAAAACAAGTGTTACTATAATATATGATATAATTGATTAATAATGATGTTTGATTGTTTTTACATTGAGTATACAATAGAGCATTGGCTACGTTTACACCCAGCGACCTGATCACGGCCTGACTTATATTGTGATCCGAAGTAGGTCTATATCGTTCGTTTACACCGAAAGAGACCTAAAAATTGACGGGAACGTATTTGGGATCGCCCTGAATTGCAGCAAATCCGAATAAGCAAATAAAGCTTTTAGGATGCGTCGCGCGTGATCGCGTGTTTACATCGCAAATAGATAACGGCCTATTTCAGGTCGGGTCACTAAAATACGCGGCCTGACCTGAAGCCAGATCCGATCGCCTATCAAGTGTTTATAACAAGCGGCCTAAATAATTTAGGTCGAATTTGAGGTATAGGCCGCCTAAATTCAGGGTGTAAACTTAGCCATTAATATGATGTCTCTGCAACAGCAAAATCTTTTGTTTCCACTTTTGTATTTCATTTCGAAGAGAAGGATACTTTAAAATTTTTTATGTGTGAGTGCGGTTAACTATTTTTTTATCGTCACATTTCTTGTTTCTTGTCTTTATCTCTCAGCTTTTTAGCTACTTAAGTCAGTCGAACGTCTGCAGAGTCTTAAGAAACTCATCGTATTGTAGAAGTGCGACAGTCAATTCGTTGCAAACAAGTAGGTAGTCGTATCGCTAAAGAAAATTCAACTTTTTCTTTCGATTTTTTGCCGTTAATATTAAAGTGGTAATAGAGCAGACATCTTTATGAAGAATAAATTATTATAGAGATTCTGAATATTAAAAAATTAAAATTTTAATATTGCAAGTAAGTATACAAAATATAAATAAAATATTATTCTATGTAATATAGCGGTAATGTTTTGTGAATACCTTATGTATATTTCATTCTTGCTATATTATTTTTTAATAAATTGTAATTAATTTAAAAATATCTGCGTGTTATTAAAAAATAACACGATAAATGAGATTATTACATAAAGATATAACAATAATTAATTAGATCAAAGAGATAACAAGAATAATTATGCTAACAATACTCTATCTAATAATACTTAAATTTTCATTTTTTATAAAAATTAAGATTAATTAATATATAACAAGCAAAATAAAAAAGATCAAGATATTTTAACTCTTAAAGTTATCAGATAAATATGGAACACATTGATTTTTCGATGATAAATTAATAGTAGAATCGGATAAGAAACATATATGAATTTACTTTCACTAGACGCTAAAACGTCCTCAAAATAGTGCAAAAATGGAATAGTCGAGACTATTACTAGCTAAAGAGCTTTAATTAAAAATAATCGACTTCATTGTCTATCTCTATATAAAAAAGACAAAAATTTTACTTTTTTTGCAGTTTTGCCGCGTATTATTATTACTTTTACATTTTTTAAAATCTTATTGCAGGTACGTGTTCATCCATTTATTCGGTATTCATATTCTTATTCGAGCATTCGCGTATAGTTCATCAGTATTAAACTTCGAAGGAAAGTTAGCCACTGCGCGGTCCGAAACTACTTTATACTTTTCCTCATTCGCTTTTAAACTCCTTACACGATAAGTTCTTCTAATGAGAGGTGATATATTTTAAATTCATTGAATTTAAGTTCGATTCTTTTTACTCTTTCGAACATTATGCGCTTAAAAAGTTGTCGGAAGGACTATTACGTCGTCGCTGCCGGTAGTGTGACCTCAATTGTAAATTGTCGCTTCCAAGTTGTCGCTACTAATAACGTGAATCTAATTTTCTATTGTAAGAATTTGTATGTTAAATCTGAATTGAATATACTCTCCAAAGGCACTTTACACAAAAAATTACAATTAAAATATTCTTTTCTTCGAAACATTTGTGAGAATGATCCAAGTCGAGTTACAGGTAAAATTCGTGCATTATTTAATTTAGAGAAACCATCAAGTTTTGCAAATAATTGTTCCGTTTTCACTGGATACATCTAATCCACGAATAACTCTTTTCGCAGAAAAAATTGAATGCTTAATCTCAAAATCAAGGGAAATCTCTTTATCTTAATACGGGTTTTCTCGCGACAATAACAATTTCATCATCGACGCTATTGTGGGATATTGTCTCGAGAAATCTGGCATGACGACTGTGTACTTAGATTAAGTTTATTTTATTATCATGGACAAATCTGTTTGCACATGATCTACGTAGTGTCTGTGTAGCATCACATTTAATTGTACAACAGTTAGATAATACACTTCTGGTAAACAAAGCATTTTCTTAATACGCTGAAGATATTTTTAATCTCTCACAATAACATTAGAATGCGATATCTCATACCTTGTTCTAATAATATCTCGCTCTATATGTGTTAATGCTAAACAGACTTTCTTTATAGATATCAAACGAGACAGATAAAGACTGCCTCGTTACAAGCTCATCAACGAGGATTATTGCACACATTACATTAATTAATACAGATTGTGTGTGACAAAACAGTAATTCTACAAAAATAACTCTATAACAGCAATTCTAAAAAAAAATCGACGTTAAAGAGTTTACGTTAAAAAAAGTTACACGCGCTTCTTACGGACATTAGTAATTATATAAGTTACACTATAATTTTTAACTTTTATATTATAATTAAAATTTTGTAATTACATTAGAGAACAACTCTCTGATGTTCTGAGATGAGAATTTTGTATTAATTTTGACTTAATCCGCGGCTCGCATACAGTTTTAGAGATATATTTATTAATAATATTATTAGTAATATTATTGGACGTTAGTTTTTAAGCAATTATACTCATGTAATTACTAAAAGAATTCCCGCTCCGTCTTTTGTAAAATTTAATGAAAATCTAAAAGCTAATCAGCAATAAAGATTAGACGCTTGAAATTTTTGAACAAGAACTTTTAGCACGTATACAAATCGACATTCGTGCAAAAACATAGGTTAATGGAAGGTGAACCATTTGCCATATAATGTTTATATATTTCAAAATCCACGTTGGTAAACGCCAGTTGAAAGCCAACGTCCAACGCGATATCATTACTTCAGCAGTCTATGCTAAGATTATCGAAAGTGTAATGTAAGTGCCAAGAACAATTTTAGTTATAGATTCGTCGCCACGGAATATCTGAGTTTGATTTCCGCCGTTCAGTCGAGAAGATGGGAAAATTTCAACGTCTCGTAGACATCGTCCTAATATTTTATTTCTGTTCATTAACGACGTCAGGGACGACGGCTCCCACCGAGTCGAAAGATATTGACGCAAAAAATGATTTGGAGTTACGATTAGTCAGCGCGGTAATGATGTGAAAATATCACAGTACTTTACAAAAAACATATCTCCTCGAGTGTATGTAAAGCTAACACAATTGGAATTTGGAATTTTTAGGTGTTTAGACACGGCGATCGCACGGTAGACAGGACGAGTCGAGAATCTTATCCAAATGACCCATATAAAAGTAACAATTTCTATCCGGCTGGCGACGGGCAGTTAACTAATGTAAGACACGTAACGTAAGATTTACATGGTACAGCATAGACATATTACATTGTTTTGTTAATCCCTTTATCATTAAGACCATCTTAAGACCATCTTAAGACGTGATGCATCATGCATATTTGCAGAAGAAATCTTTAAAAATTACTATCTAGCTTATCTGTCTAGCTTATCTCATTTTTCACAGATTTTTTAACGATAGATTTCTTATCAATTCGGAGTTAATTTTTGCATAGCAAAAGAGTATCAAGAGATAATTAAAATTTTCTGTAACTTTATAATTTTCAACATCGTATATGTTTTTCAATTGAGTCCTAAATTAGAATTTCATTCGGACTCCCTTTGAAATTACAAAAAACTAATTTTGTTATTTATTTAAAGTTCAGTTTGGCAAAAATCCATTCTTTCAATTACTTGCAACACGAAAATTGTAAATATATCTCGACATAGTCGCTAAGAAAAAAATCCCTCGTTCGAAATATAATGCGCGAAAAGTGAAATATTCTGTATATATAAATTAATATTAATGCATGCGCATTGCGTCTTCAGCTCTTCGTAAAGCTTTTCGTAGTGTGTCATAGCGAATGCACGGGTAAGTGCGCGAGTAAGTGCGCCCGCGACAACGGGAAGATTGACATTTTTCTCATTTCTTCGTTTTCGCGTGGAATACATTGCCCCGTTATTTTCAAGTTTGCGCTATCTCTTCTCGTATAAGAAATATTAATGCGGTCGCAGTTCCCTCTTCCACTTCTATATCTTTATTAACGACGTTCAAGGCCGGCAAGAAAAGAGCGTACAAGTTAGGGCTGATGCTGAGAGACAGATACAACAGTTTTCTCGGGGATGTGTATTATCCACCGAATGTCTACGCACGTAGCACGTGGCTGACTCGTTCCAAGATGACCCTACAGTTAGTTCTCGCGGCGCTTTACCCGCCTGTTGACATTCAAAAGTGGAACTCAGAGCTTCCTTGGCAACCGATGGATTTGATTTATATCTCACAGTATGAGGATGATTTACTGGTTCCAATTGGGTGTCCTACGTAAGCAATAAGCCTCTTCTTTTCACGAATAATTTATTAGTCATGTGATCGGATCCAATAATGATTCGGTTGCATTCGCATTCGCATTCACAAGAATATTTTACGACGCAAATGAGTCGTCAATTATTTTTATTCTTTGTGAGCGTGAAGCAATTAAATAATTAATACAATTAATCTATTGTATAAAAATATCTTTTTGCATATATTTTTATATTATTTCAATCCTTCTCTGTTTTGGTTATAAAAGATCCACTGCCTATATCGTCTATAAATGTGTTACAAATTATTGTAATTATTATGTAGATGATATATTTCTTGTTTAAGTTTCTCGACAATTATATTTAAAATTTCTTCTTGTGTGTAATATCTTTTTCCAATAGATACATCGAAGCTCACAAGAATCTGGTACAAAGTCCAGAAGTGAAAAAGAAAATAGGAGAGTTTAATAATTTGATGGAGATAGCGTCAAATTATACAGGACGAAACATCACTGATCTCACCGGCCTCGTTCTCTTGTACAGTACTTTATATGCGCAATCATTAATGGAATTGCCTTTGCCTGAGTGGACGCAAGACATATTTCCGGATGGCAAACTTTTTGATGCGGCTCTCTTATTCTTAGACCTACTTAGTTACGACCAGTTAAATAATCTCAATGGAGGCACGTTTAAATCAAATATAGATATATATTGTTTATAAGTTATCTAATTATTAAGAAATAATCTCAGATTGAAAAGTCGGAGAAAGAAGCCTAAATCAAAAGGCCAAGGTTCAAATTAGACTATAGAGATTAATTTACTTTTTATTTATTTTCAATCCCAGATTAGTGACGTGCATAAATATTATACGTTTTAGATAATAACATTTGTTATTCCTTACTCTTTTTTTATTATGTTTTTTGGAATAACATGACTAGAGAAGAATTAAAAGTTCTTAGAATTCAAAATTAATAGAGTTAAAATTTTATTTCTACTGCAATATATTAAGAGCACACGTAACAATTTCGTCATTATCAATAATAACAAAGCGAGTCATTTAAGTCTAACACAAATAATTCTAACTATCAAGAATTGAAGTAAATTATCCCAATTATTAGAAAATAATTGGTTTTTCTAGTTGTTAAAGAGCGAATATTTAATATATTATTTATCGTTTGTGAACAGTGATTTTATATTATTTATTATAAAATATACATATAATTTTTTGCAGGTGTATTATTGAGGAGACTAATTGACGATATGAATAAAGTGATCAACGGGACTCTGGGCGATCGAAAGATTAATCTTTTCTCCGCACATGACTTAAATGTGGCTGGAATATTACACGCTCTAAATATATCCGAACGTCGTTTACCGGCATATACGAGTAGCGTTATCGTAGAATTACATGAAAAAACCGGGATGTATTTTGTCAAAGTAAGTGTGTCATTTCCATTTGTCAATACACGTGACGACATAAATAACATCACTTGATTAATAAATAACTGACAGGTAATGCTCGCTTTTTGCAGGTGTTACATTACTTAGGTATTCCAGCGGAAATACTAGAAGTTAGCATTCCCGGTTGCGAAATATTATGTCCGTACAATAAGTTTGTCGAATTAACGGCGTCCACTAAAGCATTTGAACACACATGTCGTCCAGCGAATGCGAAAATAAACAGAACTTCTAAAGCGTTTGCTCTGTTTGAAATTTAATGGGACATCTTTGACTGAAGCTTCAAAGCTTTTATAACTCACAAATTGACTATCCACAGTGATTTTTCATTTACAAAGTACATATTACTCGCTTATTATAAATAGAATCAAAATCAACCGAGATTACATTATGTCGAATGGAAAATGAGGAATTCTATTTTGACATATATATTATCATTGACAGCTCAATTTTATTTGAATTGACATAACAAATAAGTAATCGATAAAGCAAAAACGTGTTTTGTAATGTCTCGTTTTAAAATGTCTTGAATTTTACAATGTGTAAAGCGTCACGAATATCGTCTCCTGTCTAACATAATAAAATCGGCGTGGCACGACGGTTTTATTACATTTTCCTCATTATATCCGGTATCGTACCGTCGAAAACTAGATGCCCATACGATCGCGGAAAGTTAAGTTCGTTAAGTATGCTCAGAGCCGTGTCTTATCGAAGACACGGAGCTCAGATCCTCCGCCTACCGTGCCGTAGCATAACAATTACCCTATTATTTCGCACACACCACCGCGCACCGCGCCGCGGCGATTCGTTGGGCCTATACACCGCACATTTCCGTTCCACGATATACTCCCCAACTTCCATTAAGGCTAAATCTTTTCGGCCGTCGCGTAAGCAGATATCAACGCTGAAGTTTAATTTGCTCTTCTACGTTATTGCCACTTACGGCCGCCGACGAACATTATTTTAATTTGATTTTGTATAAAGAGTCGATCTCTTATAATGCGAGGAAAATTGTTACTAGAATAGATATATTACTTTTATATATACATACATATAATTATAATAGATATAATTATACGAGATACACCGTGTAATATAAAATATAAGATTTAAAATATATTCTTTACGTACGTGCTTACCGATATATTTATATGATTTTACCTGTTGTATTCAACATGATTGTTGTGAATCTATATTTTGGAAATAAAAATGTATCGATCGACCGATATATCTCTTTTTTTATTTACAAGTTGAGAAAACTGCTTCTATAACGAAAAATCGTATTGAGAGTTTAAAGAATTTTTGCTAGAGAGGTAGAAACGATGCCAAACAACGTAGTTTGTCGTATACCGAATTAACCGCCGTGTTCTTTCAATTTTGAAAATCATTGCCGAAACTTGTCGCCGGAAAAGAATAGGGTGGTCTCAGCTATTCTAAAGACAAAGTTCATCTTTCCTTTTTCCCCTTTTCTTTCGTGCCGGGCCGTCCTTTTCTGTTACCCCTTTTTCTCCTGTAATCCCACCCACGCTCCGTCGGGATAAACTCTTGAAATTTCCGAGAGTTGCCCGGATGAGAGAAGAACCAGTTCCGCACTCCTAATTCTGCGGAATTAAACTCGCGAAATCGTTCTAATTGCGGATACAGTGCATCGGGGCACTTGCATCGAACCGAACTTGCATTGTACTTTTAACGATGTAATACCACGATTGAATTAATCACTGTTCAATTTCCATTACACGGCCGTTAAATTGCATTTATGCCGAAACGTCGTGATTATGATCACGTTAATTTATTAACCGATGGAAAACACGTAATTTTATCGGATACATATTGCATGACGCGCCGCGAACCGCGAGAAAATACAAACCCCCTTTCAATAAAGTTAATTTTGTCAGTCTCTTTATAATTAAACCTCGAATTGCAAATTCGTCAAAGTATGAAATTATAATGGATTAACTTACAAAAATTAGTTCTTAATTACGAAATTACGAGTTTGCGCTTTCGGGATGATATACACGAAATGTGCGTGGGGGAAAAGGTGGAAATAGAGCATTCCTCAAGTTCCTAGACGGGTGCGCGTGACACAATGGCCGAGAAAATGCAAAATTTGCCGAAAAGACTGCGGGTACGGAAGTTAGTTTGAAAACGCACGATTTAATTGAACATTCGTAATAATTTGTCTGCGCGAGAGAGGGTGCTAACTGAAACTCCTGCGGTTCGCGTTCGCGTGCGATTCGTCGGCGGCAAAGGAATTAGCACGAGCTGTCGAGTAGACAATACGGAATTAATTATAATTAACTGCCATTCACAAAAGTTTCCGCGAACAATTTTGTGGTCGCACCATGCCGGTTATAATGAACTCTCCTCCTGGCAGCTCCTATCATTTACATACTCTTACATTCAAACTGGGTTTTCGTTTGGCTGCCGCGCTGGTTCGCGACAACCCCAAGAGAAACTTCTTTAAATTATGCCCTTTGGAATATACCCTCGGCATGACGTGGAATATAACGTCCGTTGAAAACTTTCCGCCGGGGCACGAAGAAATATTGTTGCAACATCGTAAAAATGCATACGACTGATTCTTATACCGTCATCCAGCAGGGATTACATATTTCGAAAGAAAAGCTCTTTAGAAGCAGAAAAGTTTGAGAGAAAGGAGCAAATATGACCCGAAATCATCCTAATTTTGTTATTATGCATTTATATTACATAAATAGTAATCATGTGACTATATAGTTGGTATTTATTTATTATATCTCCTGCCAAACGTATCGATTAATTTAGGCAGTTACGCAAACTTACAAAAATTAGCAGATTAAATGATTAAAAGAATTAATCCTTAATGAAATTTTTAATATAATTATAATAGAATAATAGATTTCTCATAAATCTTTATTAATTGTTTTACATATTATTCATATACATTGCCATGCATTTATGTGTGACAACACTGAACACTTGAGAAAGCTTAAAAATAATTAGCTTAATAATGTTAAAATTTGGCAGTTTGATATTAATATTGCTTTAACGTCAGTTAAATGACTAACGCTTTTTACAGCTCGATACCCTCGCACGCGTATCGTCGTCCTACGTTGCAGGTTTCCTTCATTTCAAGAAGTAGCGCGCTGGCCATGTGGTCCTCGTATTTACGACTTTGTCCTACATGTAATAATCTCTCCTGCACTGCCCTATCGTGTTAATCAATTTCGCGCGGAGGCACGTAAGATCGTGACGATGATGTGTCAGCTGTCATTAAAAGAACAGGAAACAGAAGACACTATACGGTCTCGTAAAGAAAAAATAAAGAACACCCACGTGGGTTGCACGAAGAATACCAGAAAGTCGAAAATACGATCTTTCTACTTGCTGAAACAATCTCGGTTAAGCTACGACCACCACGGTAATCGTTAAATTAAATTAAATCGGCTAGTGTCTCAGTTTGTGAATAACGATGATTTGCAAACCACTGTGGAAGCTTCAAGGTACACCGAAAGAAAGTGATAGCCTCTCTTGTTTCCGCAACGTAATCCAGATTTTACCGACTAATTTGTGAATCCTAGGGGTAGGAGGGGGGATAAAAAAAGTCAGCGATTATCTCGCGTGTGTGCGAGCGCGCGTGCACGTGCGCGCGTATCATATCAAGGGAATGTAAGTGTGGCACCGCGAGCTGACGGTTCGGCAGTGCATTATCAGTTCGCCTCGCGCGCTCATAGGAAACCGCAATTTCCACAAATTACACGGATGAAAACTGACTCTTGCGACTGTACACCATCGGCTACAGCGCGGTGGAATTCATGGGTCGCGGGTTATGCCGCATTCGGTGGTATGTAGTAATTAGCAACATTGCTCCCAGGATCTCCCCGTGGATGGGAGGATCGGAGCGAGGACCGTGAGCGAGGGGGGGAGGGTGGGGGCGCGGAGGCCGGCGAATCCGCCGGCACAGATTTCATTTCGAAGGAGCAGAGCGCAACGGGCGGCGATATTATCTTGCCCTTGCTTGACGTTTAACGATCGGTCATGCCGGAGACCCTCGACACCGCGTCGGAAAGTCGTGAACAAAAACAGAACGCTGTGTTTCGCATTCTTCAGCCTAGACATCTCTCGTCTGACTATTTGCGAAATTTTTGATGAAGCTCGTGTAAAAATTGTCGTAATTTCAGGCTCGAAATTCTGATTCTGTTATAGTGCGAAATGCATAAGGAAGAAAACTTGCTCGGGTCAGAAATGGACCGAGCGGTTAAAAGAAGATTGATCTTTTTTTCTCTCGTGACTGACGCATCAAGATGTTGGTCTGAAGATCCTCGAAAACGAAGTATTCTTCTCTAATTTTTTTCTCTTTTTGACATATCGACTGCCACATCATACGTATCGTTCGTATATATAAATGACACTCTTTCAAAAGCGCCCCATCTAAATGGGATAATCCCGCGATAGAACAGCTAGTCACAATGACGTCGAAATGACGGTAAAATGACCTAACAATCATCATTTTGCCGTCATTTGGACATCATTTTGACTTTATTGTGACCTGCTGTTATACACCTGGGATACTTCGTAATTCTTGTAAATGATCTTCTCTGACACAAAAGAAATAAATTATATTTGGCTCCTGGTTATTTGTGAAATTGGATATCATTTGTATAATAGTATATGAACGACGTGGCGATCAATGTTTTAATACATTTACATACTATAAAATGTATCAACGTCTTGAAAATTGACCGGCGCGTTTTGTCATTAATAATTGAATTTTTTTTTTTTACATATCGACTGCCACATCATACATATCATTCGTGTATAAATAACACTCATTACTTTGAAAGCGCCCTATCATCCAAATGGGATAATACCTCGTAATTCTTATAATGATCTTCTCTGGCACTAAAAGAAGTAAATTATGAAAGAAATGAATTATATTTGGTTTCCTAATTGCTTTGTGAAATTGGGTACCATTTGTATATGAAAAACAGTGGCAATCGCAACGTTTTAATACACTTACGTACTAAATATATCAACGTCTTGAGAGATAATAATCGAATGTTCATCACTGGGATATTTTTAATCGTCAAACATATTGCTGCTATCGAGCACAGCGCAAGAGAATTAATCAGTGAGTTAATTGTTATCGACGGGGGACGTAATATCATTAATAATTGAAAACACAATTGTTATTGAAGAAAGGAACGTATCCATACGTTCCTCGTAATCAATTAAAGAGCGGCTGCGCGAAAACCGTCATCGTGCTCCACAATTTCTCTTCCATACGACAGAAAAGTCGAAACGAGACACGCGCCTCGAGTTTTGCTTCTGCGAAACGTCTTCCCCGCCGAGTTTATTAAAGCGTCGTGCAGCTGCAGCTGAATTATCGCCGGAGTTTCCTGTCTTGGCTCCCCCGCGGCAAAAAGCGCGCGCGGCGCGCAGCGGGAACGAAACAATTTGACCGCCTTATTCGAATTTACTTTTCTCCCGCGCGCTCGCTATCTGCGCCGTAACTTTCGCCAGACGCCGCGACGGGGGGAGGGAGGTTGCGCCATTAACCCCGAAGCTAATGTACCCTCACAATGATCATTATGTAAATTCAAGTGTGATAGAGCGCTCCGTCCGGCTATAACGCGAGCGAAACTTTTTCGCGGAAGCTAATCAATTCATTTATCGTGTACCCGATGTGTCCGCCATCCGTCGAGTACGCAAATATCAAAAACGTGCGTTCTTAAGGGATTTAATTTTTCGGGGAGAAAGAATCCGCGAGGGGTGCCACATACTTTAGAGTCACCTATATTTTTATTCAGAATCTTTGCAGATAAAAATTCAACTCAAACAGCTTATTTTCAGATTGTCTTAAATTCACGTAGGAATTGAAGCGGAATGAAAAAGAACAGCCATAAAAAAATGAACGCTCTCATAAATATCCATAAAATTAAACTCGCCGCTTTTCCCCGTCACGCCGGAAGTGCGCGCGTCCGTCTGACAGAGGCCGGTAGGCCGGAAATCTCGTTATCCATCCGCATCCGCGGGTCCGCAGAGCGGACAAAAGTGCGACAGCGGCGCGGCGGCGTCGGACGAGCGCTCGGCTCGATAGCGCGGCGAAACTTTCCGCGTTAATGAAATTTCTTTGGGCGAAAACTTCGTGGCGCGGGGGAGAAAGAGAAGGGGAGGAGGGTAGCGCGAAGAAGCCGCCGCAAAACCGCGCGCAGTTAACCGCAGACGAAATAAAGGAGAAGGCGGGGAACAAACGGCCGATTATCATCCGTATTCGCGCGCGCCTCAAGTTGACTCGCGCCTGGTGGTTTTTCAACCCGTTCGCGCCGCGGGAAAAATCGATTTCTCGCGGCGAGGAATCGAGTCGTCGCGCGTGCGCGTCGCGACTCCCCCAGTCGTCTGCTACTCTGCTCCGCGAACGTCGTGTTTACTTTACGTTCATGGACAGTCCTCCGAGAACGTCCGGCGGGGAAAGAACGCGATAAGGTGAGAATATTTTGTGATATTTTGCTGTACGATAAACCGCGATGATAAGAGACCGTCCGAAACTCGCCGACAATTCCTTCTTTAACATTATTTGCGTAACCTCTTCTCCTCAAGATTCTGCTTTCTTACAATATTACTTGTTCTACTTACAGTAAAGTAGCACAATGCAGGAAAAACAAGTCATGTTTAGTTCGTTTTAAAAGCGCAATGTACGATACTAGAGAGAATTTTGTGTTATCACTTTATTGCATACATATCTATGTTTTGTTCAGGTTGTATCAACATTTACAATGGCTCAAGCTCAAAGCGATCCCAGAATCCCGAATTTGCAGGACACAGCTACTCCTTTTGGTGTCCGACTGTCTGGAATATATAAACGGTAATTTGCTGAATTGCTTAACCCTGTTCGCTCGTTATCTACTCACTGACCTTTGATAGGAGGATATAGAAGTTGTATCTTTTATTTGTGTTTCAGAAGTTACGCTCACGTGACAATCAAAGACAGATTGCCAGTGATATTAACGAAAATCGTTGATACGCTCTGTCAGAATAGAAGCAAAATTATAGCTACTTATAGTGCGGTAATTATACATATACACATATATATGTAGGCCGATATTTATAGTCAGATCTTATATTTAAGACCGTCTTGAGCACAATCTTAAGATGTCATAAAACCAATACAGGAGCCATATCAGCATCTTAAGATATTACTTAAGACGGTCTTGAAATAAGATCCGACTATGAATACCCGTTGTAGAAATCAATTTGTGTTCTATGCCATTGTAAAGTGCATAAAATATATTATTAAATTACAGGATGCCGAAGAAGATATTAAAGAGATCATAGGATTCATAAGTCAGTTGAAAAATGAAATGGTTACTAACAAAGTCCTAAAGCCACTGCGTCTAAACAAAGCAGTTACTAACGACGCGGAGGAATGGAATAAATATTTTGAGTACAGAACATCCGTAGAAGGCGAAACACCTACATGGTTCAATACAATATGGTTATATTGCGAAACCTACATGTATCGTGTACTAGCTCAAGAAATTAGTTTGATGTAAGTTTTGATATATTGAACGAAACTTAAATTTATATAGAACAAGTACTAAAATATCGTTTTGCAATGCCAGGAACACCATACACGGTTACGATCCGTTTGAGTGCCATAAGCAAAATGATTTTATTAACTCCCTTGACTCTATAGACTTAATAATAACCTACGTAAAAGATATAATATGCAATAAGGAATACAATATGGAGAACTCGAAGAATGATTTCCTGAAATTTTTGGAATTGAGCTTGTGGGGCAACAGGTTGTACTATTTCTATCTAATTCTAATACATCTATCTTTTATACAATGCATTATGAATAAGCAATGATTTCTATATTTACAGGCATGATCTATCTGCAACTGCAGGCTCCCCTTATAGCAAAACTGGTAATCCACTCACGATAGTGGATCTTTTAAAAAAGAATGTAGTAGTGAACGATTGGGAGGTGGTGTGGGATATTGTAAACAAAAAGATGAAAGAAAGCGATGATATTCATATAGTACTTGACAATGCAGGATACGAGCTCTTTACTGATTTATGTTTAGCAGCTTTTTTGATTACTATCGTACCTACGACCAAAATAACGTTTCATGCAAAGCTATATCCATGGTATGTGAGTGATACAACTATTCACGATTTTCTCTGGACGTTAGATTATATGAGTGGACTAAATGATCATCCAAATATACAATTATTGGGTAAGATGTTCGGAAATCTAATGGACCGTAAAGTTTGGTGCGTTAAGGTATTTAATTTCACATTTTCTGAAACCATTTAAACCATCACGTGAAATTAGGTTAAATTTAATTTAAACTATTTTTATTAAATAGGAAGAGCCCTATTGGACAGGACCGTATGACTTTACGCAAATAAAAGAAAAAGCGAAAGATATATATGCCCAATTTTCCGACGCTAAATTAGTAATATTTAAGGGAGATCTGAATTATAGAAAACTTCTGGGCGACATGAATTTTGAATATAATACAAGCTTTGCAGCTGCACTGGGAAATTTTCGACCTACGAATATTTTGAGCTTGCGCACTATGAAATGCGATATTTGTGTTGGATTACCAAATGATATGGTTGAATTCTTTGAAAAGGATAAAACTAAACTGACAACTGGAGAGTACGGTCTTATTCAAGCAGCTATATTTAAAATTTAAAATATTAGATCTTTTTGCAAGACAAAAATAAAAGTACTTTTGAATTATGATAATCGTAATTGCTTATGTTTATCACTGTATAAATATATAAAGTTACATAGCACAATATTTGTACATATACAGAGATGCACGAAAATATATATGTAAAACTGATTTATACAAAAAGAATCTTCAGATTTCTCGTAACATATCTATATTTATTCGGTATCATGTTGTATATTAATTATTTAAAATCTGTTATGGCCTGTATATATTTCTATATACATAAATAAAATCTATATCTAATTACAACTATTTTCTGGTATTTTATACTGTAAATTTTCATATATATTATTACTGTATATTTTGTGGACTGAACTATTCTGTGATACTACTCTGTAATATATATAGTTACCTTGAATTAAATTTTCCTACGACAAATCCAGTCATTAAAACAAATATTGCTGATTTGTAACTGAGTGTAGTATAATGATTAAGACACAATAAGGATAATCTCTTACTAAAATGCTTAGTGTTAAAATTTTGTGTTTTATCCTCGTCATAATTAAACGATACGCTTTTATATGATTAAGATTTAAAGTTATCTTAACTCGACTGTTGATTGCCTATTCAGTAAGTTATGATACGCTCTTATACATCAATTGTTATACAATTTAAAACACTGTGTTCAATCTTATTTCATATAAATTATTATCAACGATAAAACCATACTTTTTTATTTGTACATATTATACACATAAGTCGAAAAAGAAGTTTAATAAGAAGTAATAAATGTTGATTATTTCTTATTTATTGAACTTTAATCGGCGATATATTACATACGTATGTGCACATAAAATTATAAAGCAAGCCTGTAAGAATACAATACTATGTTTATACAAAGTATTCAAATATATAAAATTAAATTCTTTGATTTAAATAATTTGACATTAATTTGACGCTTCATACATATACTTTAAGTATAATAAATTTATCACACTAGGGCCTGGTTGCACCAATGTTGCAATAAATTTTAAATTATAAAATGTAAGAAAAATAATTTTAACAAGTATGACCCGATTTAACGTCCATCTAACCGTATAACGATTAGTAGGACTAATCTTTTAAATTGATAATTAGACAATGCAAGAACTCGATAGAATTTTTGATTCATAGATTTTTGTAACAAATATTCATATATAAAGATATGTTTTTTATTATAAAACTTCAACTGCGAATAATGCCATGTACGCTTATAATTGATAAAATTCGAGAGAGATTTAGATCTCGCACATAGCATTAGTGGCAAATATGTATTTTATCATCATTATATATGTATATATAAAACATTGTATATTCTGCTCCATACTTAAGTAGAATTTATTTCATTGTATTCGATTTTCCACATCAGAACATCATGAAAGAGATAGTTGTTTTACCAAGTGGCAATAGAGTTTCCTCATCAATGGATTTTCACAGACTAAATATAATAGAAATCTATTTATATAGTATATATGTATGTATTCACAAAAAACTTTTCATAAAACTTTTCTAGTTACTTGTAAATGTATCTGTTGGCTGTAGTAAAAGCTGATAATATTAACAATAATTTTAATAAATTATAATCACGAATAATGAAGTAATAACAATAATTATATAACTATAATACATTTTAAAGCAAACAACTTATTCAAGTAAATTACTTGAATGCATTATAGTTTAATTATTATTATCATTATGAATAAACTTGATTCATGTGCTGACATATGCTTGTCCAGCAAGCTTTTAGATGAAATAGCAATGGATTAATAATATATTTGACGATTTCTCCACAATTTTTAATATCCATTATAAAAATTTATAAAGGATATATATGTCTGCATTACTATCCAAGAACAAGACAAAGTCTTGACAGTGACAAAGAATTAACATTATTATATATTATAGGTATTAGAATCAAATAGTAAAAATTGGATCTTAGTTAAAATTTGATGATAGATAAAACATTATCTATGTAAAATGATGATTGCAAATCACTTGATATCCCACCATATTATTGTAATCCAACTTTCTATTCATGTCAATCTAATGTGCATTCTACAAAGTTCATTTGGAAAGTAAGTGCCGAGATCGTAAAGAATTTAAAATACTTGAAAAAGTATTAATTAAAAATTGATTTTGACTATTACTCTGAATGACTACAATTCGTTCCCGTACTTTATTTTTAATAAAGAATTGAAAATAAAGTATAAAAGTGAGAAGGAATTTTTCTATAAAATACACCCTTTTTCTTATGGCCGATTGGCACCTACTTCTCAAATGATCTATTCATGTTCTTACTATATCTGTACATTTTACATGCATATCTATATATCAGCGATTAATAAAGTACATGAATAAACAGAAATATTTGAATTTATATTACAATTATTTTATGACAAGTAACTATAAGTCTTTTTCGATACATTTTATGCTGTTCTTATAATATACAGGTATATATTCTATCCAACAATAGAATCCAATATTCATTAAAGTTTATTGACAAATTATAATCTGAGAAATTATTTTCACAATAATTATTTACAAGAATTTACAGTGATCTATTCTTGTTTGAAAATAAAGATAGAATTATTTAGATAATGCTTTCATGCGTAGGATATTTCGCATATTTATTTTTATGAATTTTGAAAAATGTTTTAGACACGTTCTTTTAAACCAAAGAAAAAATTGAAAAATTAAATCTTTTAATTTAAAAATAAGGAAGCTTAGCCCCATGCTCTTTTGGCCCAATAAATATCTCAGTTATTGCACAAAGGACATTAACAAATTTCAACTACCAAAAGTTGATTTTGTTATTATATTTAATAGTCTCAGGACAAGCAGCTTGTAACACTAATTTATATATTCAACTATCAGATTACAATAAAATTATCACTTATCTAAGAAATTTTGAATAACAAAAAATATCGGTAATCAATAATAAATAATTCATCACTTTTTCCTTTTAAATCTGAATACTTTACTGCCACATGATAATACTATCAGTACAATCTGTTTATATATATCAGAAGACATTGCATCAATATAATGGTCTGTATGAAAAGTGAACATTTCTATAGAAGCTATTGTGCAGAGAATTTCTTACAAAAGTTTTCAAAGTTAACAGAAATGTGGCACTTCGCGTAAAATCGCACGAGGTCAGCCATGTGTAAAATCATATCTATCAGTATTATTGACATAAGTGAAATAATTAACGGTTTAAAAATATCTAAAATTCGTTTCTGGAGAAAGATTTAAAATGCATGTATAGATTAATTAAACTTAAAATATTTAGAAAAATGCTGTTTAATATAAATGACTCGCGGATGTAACGCGAAATTCTATATGACATAAACAAAGAGGCACATGTATATACTATATTAAAAATTAGGATTTAAAGGAATATATGTACATACTTGTATATTTCACAAAATTATGGCTAAGAACATATAATCCAGATTTCTTCAACACTAACACACCCAGTATCCACCCCGCATAGTGTCCTGCGTCTTATGTTTATGAACAGATACACATTCGTAAACACAATGGATAAGCAAGAAAGTACAGACTTTAATACAATGTGATCATTCTTTCCTAAACGAAATAGTGCTACCCAGCACAAGGCATACATTCACGCTTCTTATTATTTCATAATATTTAAATACGAATATTCGTTATATTTAGCTATATCAAATATGCATTAAATAACAATAACGGAAATGAATAAAATTTCTTAAAAGTTTCCTATGTAGACGAATATGGATTATTTGGTCTGAATAATTTTATCATGTAACAAGGATTGTATCTTTCTATTTTGCATAATTGTCGCGACTAAAAGAAATCATTAAGTTCATTATTCACATTAGTATAAGAATAATAGTATTGTATAATACATAATAGAATTTAATAGTATAAAACTATTCCGCGTCCACGAAATTTAAGAGTTAGTAACTGTTACTTGGTGAATGTAGCAAATACAGCCCAAAGTACCGGATTCGCGTTACGTTTAGCGGCTTCCGCCTCAAAGTCGAGGTCTAATAATGTCCGTACTCTTCGCATCGCTACTTCGTAATCGTCGTCCGACAATGGCGCAAATGCATTTTCTAGTACATCAGCTGCATGAGCTAAAATAACTAATGCCAATGTTCGTCTATCCATGCGAGCGGCATCATTCACCCAACGGCCTAATACAGCTTCTTGGATCTGGAAAACAGAAAGTAACATATGCCGTTGTTCTATTCATATATTATGTAACTCAATTCAACATCAATATTCTTTCATGAAAAATGTAGAACATATTTTTATCTTTCCCCATTACCAATTTTCATTTCTATACTCTTATTCTAGAAACACCTTAATATCTTCTGTTTAGCATAATTAATAAAAAATATGGAAATATTTAATACCATCACAAAGATTTGTAAATTAAAAACTTTTATATATAAGTATTTTTCTTTTTCAATTAACATGAACTAAAATTTATATAATAAATAAAATTTATGTAATAAAATAAAATTTATTTATACAAAAATTTCCTTCAAATATATATATTATTATTTTTATGCGTATGTTATTACAACAGTAATAAATGTGTTATAAAAACAGATAATAAATATATATAATTAGGAGGCATGAGAAAAGATAACACCTCGTAAATTGAATACATATATATATATATATAAAATCATATTGTATATACACATAATGGTGTCATATATATGTATTCAATTTATGAACTGTTATCTTCCCACATGTCTTCTAATCAAAGTAGGATATAAAGCATAAAGATAAGATATTACTTCCGTAGATGATAACATTATATTAAACATAGAATGCTGTTGAAATAAATCTCTGAATATTGAGAAGCATTTTGTAAGTGTCATATCACAAGTTAATTGAGTGAGCTTTTCTTTCTGATTCGAGTCATAAACACTGCTTATTTTCGGAAGAATGTAAGAAGGTCTAACAAACTTTCTATTTTAAACAATAATATTTATGATCCGATCAGGCTTAATACATTTAAGTGATATGTCACAGTAAATATATACATAAATATTTTTATCAGTGTGAGATGTATTGTTACATGCACGGAATATGTTCTTGGACATATCTGTATCTATACTGTGCGAGTCTCTCATTCTTGAAATGAGAATAGCTCTCAAATTTATTTCATAGGCATGCTATGTATCGATAACCTAAGAAGTAGTATTGCAGCAAAATATGTAGAAGATAAAAAATTCACCTTTTTCACGAGACGACTTTTGGCAAGGTTGTCGGTAAGAGGATGAGTCGTCATATCAAACAGTAAGAAATTTTGTTTCTCCGTAGTTAAGACACCTTTCTCGACAAGATTTTTCGCTAGCCGTTCTCTCACATTTTTCAATTGATACCTTAATTTCAAGGGATTCCATGTTTCTCCTGCAACCATACGAGACATTTTAGGATCAACATCTCGTACACGAGTACAGCGATAAAGGAACTAACCGCTGAGGTACTCTATCCAATTCTGCACAGTTTCAGGAGGGTCTGTGTCCTTCAAGTGTTTCAAAGCTTCGTCCAACAATACGTCTCCCGTAGGCGCGTCGTTTTTCAACAGAAGCTTCCTGGCCAGCAGGCTCTTCTTACGCATGCCAGCCTTCTCCAGCTCCACCCTACCCCGAAAGGCAAGTTCCGCCAAGATACATCCTCTTAATCCGGAACTTATGCAATCGTTCCAGAAGGACGTGTATCCCTATGAAAAAAAGAGAGGACAGTGTCATACGCCAAGTGGAGTTCATAGGGGAAAGGGAGTTTCTAGGATGGTAAACAAACCTCTTTGTCCTTGAGACCGAGCAGCAGGACCTCCTCCATGAGGGTCAGACGCGTCTCCTTGTCGGAGTCGTCGTCGGTGGTGGGATTACAGTTGAGATCTTTCTGGGACAGGCAGTCCGAGTCCGGGCTTTGACCGGACAGCTTGTCGTTGTGCACGAGGTCCGCGTTCGAGCCGTCCTGGCCGTGGCCGCTGCCACCGCCGCCGGCGCCGCCGCCACCGCCGCCGCTGTTCACCACGCGTCGTCGCTGCACCAGCCCATCACCGCGATTCATCGTGCGGCTCAGGTAACACGACGGGCCACCACTTGGGGGGAGTAGTACGTCCGCGTGTTCCCGGGGTGCGATACACCCACCACACCGCCAATCACCTCGGTGCTGACGGTCGATCGAGCGCGGGGGATGCCCGTCTCAGACGGTGTCGTTATTAGAGGGAGCCAGCGCGGGCGTTCGTCGCACGGTAAACACTGTGCCGTTGACGTTTACCCCAAAGCGACATGTCTCATCCAAGATGGCCAGGCCCTCTCTCTCTCTCTCTCTCTTTCTCTCTCTCACTCTCTCTATCTCGTTGACCTCGTCCGCGGCTCTTGCGATTACTCGCGGTGGACCGAGTTGAAGCGGCGAATACGCGCGGCGCGACGCGACGACCGCGACGTGACGAACGACGGGGGTCGACGACGTGCGGAGTAAATGCGCTCGTCCTCCCTCGTCTCCGAGAGCCTGCCTTCTGTCGGCCGCGTTTAACGTATCACCGACTCACCACGAGGAACGACACGTCCGCGGGAAAGACATCGGGGGGGCTTTGAAAAACACGTGCGAGATCGCGTGAAAGATACGGGACGGATCGAATCCGTATCGGTGGTCCAGCCACTCGTGTGCCCACGGCAGAGAAACCGAGGAACGGAAAGGACGAACGTATATCAACCTCGATCGCACTAGCGGCAACAATCACGAATCAGCGAGCGGAGCAGTCAGCAGTGTCGCCAGGATGCAGTGGTTACGTCTCCCGTACCAACCGAGCGCGACGAGGATCTATTTACCAGACTCCGAAATCGCACTGGCTGATCATTGGCTCTCGCGCGCGGCACGTGACCGCCGCTAGAGAATTAACGCGAGACGGCCAATCGGATCTCCGCTTTTCCGGAAGTGGCACATTTCCGGT